ACACGACTTTCTTTTGTCTGCTGAAACTTTGTCATCTCAAAGCAAATTGTACAGAATAAATTTGATTGAACACTTTTGTTTATGTAAAGCTCCAATAAGAAGTTTTTGGGGAATTTATAAACCAGACTGAAATTCAGATTAATCCGATTATCCAAAAGTACAAAGTAGCACAACTGATGATTATTGAGTCGTAATTTTTAAATGCCTGAAACTGTAATAAACATCAGTTAAAGGGATATTTAGGTGAAAAATTAAGTCAGAGGTGACTGCTTGCTTCTCTGGTTATATCAACTTTTGTAACGACCGTATGATAGCAATACACAGCGGTCTACGTTTCCACACACAAACCTCAACCAAAAAGCCACTCTATAGTCACAAATAATGCTCAGAACAGCGCCTAACTTATTCAACAGTACATATAGGGTCCCAGCCATAGTACTAGCCACCAGACATCTGTCTAGCTTTGTGTGATTTCTTTAGCAAAGAAACTAAACACAACTCACCTACTCTTCTCCAGCAGCCGCTTGTTTGTGGGGGAGCCCTGACGAGCCGATCACAGAGTGCAGCGGAGTTTCACAGCTGAAGGAAGAACATTTATGATCATTTCTTCGTGGAAATGCAATCAAACCGAGACGCTGAATCAAGGAAACGATATTAGATGATTGACTATTATTTTATAGTATTAATCTACATAACTGTTCTCATGTGCACTTTCATTTTAAAAGTGATTTTGTGCCCATGTGGTGATTTCCACTACAGGGTCATGCCAGTTTATATCACAGTGCAGCCTGAGGGCCTGAAGAACTTGGCCACCCAGTGTTGGTTTGGGACATTTTTTTTAGGTTTCTTCAGATTCTCTGAATCTTTTGATGAAACTTATACTGTACATGATGAAATCATTAAGTTATTTACCTTTAGCTCTTGGGAACATTATTCTGAAGATGTTGAACTGTTTGCTCACGAGGTCCCTTACAGAGTGGCAAACCTGGGCATCTTTCAGTTCAAACTTTGCCTTATTTTCTGCAATAAATGGACATGATATGATTTAAAAAAAAAAATTCTGGAATTGTGGTCGTATTTTATGGATAAAATTATTTAAATGCATTCTTAAATTTACAGAATAATCTCTCATATATTGCAAATGATACTGTAAAGTAACAGACCATGACATTATCATCACCATATGGAAGCAGAGCGGACATGGAAGAGCTTGTTTTGGTTACGGTCGTACAACAATGGTTTTATTATAGAAGAAGTGATACACTCCCGCTGACAGCACACACACTCACACACTTTAATCTTCACATAAACAAGCAGATCCATCAGATCACATTAATACCTTACACCGCTCAGATTAACCAATCAAAGGATACACTGAGATTTTAATTAGTCCGATCAGAGAGGCTGGATGTAATTATTAAAGTAAACCCCCCACAGTCAGCCACGTCTCTGACCACAGATGCTGAACCTATTGATTATCACACATCTATCAATTCAGAGCGGTTCAGTATATACATACACACACACGCATGCACACACACACACACACACACACACACACACGCACACACACACACGCACATCCAGGACAAGATCCAAGGGCATTAAACATGGAGGTGAAACACGTAAGTAACAAAAGCTCTAAAATCATATTAATGGTAAGAAGAACTGAAAGAAGGAAGTTGATCATGATGTTAAATAAAGTCTGTGGTAATCGAGAAGTAATACTTTACAATCATATCCAAGATTAAAACCCTTAAGTTAAACTCTTTCGATTCACTTTAAATCTTTAAATCTTCCTCTTAACCTCAAGATGATGTTTCTGTGCTCAATTTCACCATTGTGTTGTTGTCAATACTTGCAATCCACAGAGGACTATGTATGCTTTAATTAACTAATTTTTTGTGTCTTTGTATCAAAATGACAAGTATCCTAATGAGAACGTGTCTTAAAACCTTAGATAGAAGGTTCATACTACTTCAGAAACACAGTGCATCAGTCTCATGCTAAATGTATCCTATTTATGACCAATCAACCAAGTACCATAACTAGACAAAACAAAGCCACATGAGACATCTCGCTTGTTCCTCCCCTGCCTGTCACTTCTCACAGAGAATTATTCAGATCTGCTGCGGTCTCACTGAGTCCACCTTTGATACCAAGGGGCTCGCAGGAAGTATTCCAGGTGAGTTCAGGGTGAAAAACTTTTTTTGAGAAAGATCCTAGATATTATTTGAGGAACACCTCAATTTTTTGAATTGTTACATAAAGCTGTTTGATTCATATTAAAGGAGTAAGTAAGTAAGGAAGGGGGAAATAAGGTGAGTCATTTTATCAGAATATATCCCTAGAGTGTCAGTTTTTTTACTTGGCTGTATTTAAGAGACATAATTAACAATGAAACAAGATGGTCCTTAAGGTTATGTTTTTGAGCATGTTTTGCCTTTACTAGATAGGACAGCTGAAGAGAGACAGGCTATGGCAGGAGCAAATTGCAAGGAAAGACATGCAGCAAAGGGTTGAGGCTGGAAATCAAACCAGCAAATGCTGTAATGAGGACTACAGGCTTTGTTTATGTGGTGCTTGGACTTCTTCCTCTTCTGCATTTTTAAAGTCCCATTAGACCAACAGGACATCTCTGCAAATGTTTATGACAATCGAATACTTGATGCATATGCACGTATGTCACTTTGTGTCATTTTAAGCCACTACATCAAGTGTTCATGACAAATCTTCAATCAGAATAACTTTAATCAAGTAAAAAAACAAAAAAAACAAAAAAACAAAAACAAAACAAAAAACGGTAATACCAACTATGTCACATCACAATGCAATACCCATATTTATTACCTTATTATCATATTTATTACCAGATATTACCTTACAATAATCTGAAGTACCAGTAACACTGTATTATTAGTAAAACCATTGCACTTGTTTTCACTCTGCAAATAAAATGAAAATATCTCAGTTCAAAACCCCCCAAATAAAAGAAGGGATGTGAATGTTTTTGGTAACTACAGTTTTAGCACTTAAACAGTAACACAGGTTTACTGACTGACACAACACTGAAGCTTTGGCTGTACTGATTTAATAACCATTCTTTTATTTTAAAAAAATGCAAAAAAGATAATTTATGAAAAGTTTTTAGGGTAAGAAAAAGCTATCAGTATAAAATAAAGACGAGACTGAAAGAAAATCCCCTATGAGTGGATAAAACGATCCTGTTTTGGTATCCAATAGTACAATTCAAATCAGGAGGGAAACGTTCAGGTTTATCTGAAAAACTTAATAAACTGAGCTTGATCTGCATTTTCTCATCTCCACACTCAACAAACAAGATTTTTTTTTTCTTCAAAATAACAACTCTTATCTACAGGTTTGAAAACTGTTGCATAATACCTGGGCTGACTGTGTGTTCAGGGCCGTCATTGTCCTGAATATTCCAGTATGTGGCCCAGATGGTGTCAGGATCCAGGAAACAGGCTCTCAGGATTAACCCTTACAATAATACATGCTTAATGAAGCTGATGCTCTCTGATTATGGCTTTAGCTCAGTGACAGACAGAGGTGAGAGAGCTCATTAGAGTCAGGACGGTCCCACCATAACCCAACCCGACCTCTGAAAGATATACAAGAATATTTTTCTCCAAATTTGCCTTTTTTGATTCGAAATGCTTGAGTCACAAATATTATCTTCATTTTTATTTTCACAAGTTTCCTTGAAATAGTGGTCAATAAGAGTGGTCAACCCCCCGCTGTTCCTTGAAATTGTTGTTATGGCAAGTTGGCAAATATCAGGTGTGCAAAACGACAGGAGTATGGAATAAAAAAATAAGAGGTCTATGGGTATTCATGAACATCTTTTGGAGTTATGAATTAAGCAGTGAAAAAGAATTGACCGATGATAAATACAGGAAGGTAAGACAGTTAAACACAGACTCCGACAATCAGATTTCAAGCTAGCTTAATAGTTAATGTCCATTCTGGATAGGCCCCCTTGGATCACCTTGTCCCAGGCACAGACAAACCTTTCAGCTGCTTGTACATTAGCCACCAGTCTCTGATCTTCATTGAAAGTGACGACCTGCAAAAACTGGACTTTAGCTTCTGCCATGTTTATTGTATTTCTGTAGGGAATCTTATTCTGTTATTTCAGTGGTTTGATAACATTTCTGTGAGGATGTTGATGTTTCTCCTCAGTTCAACAAGGTGGTCTACACACCCTTGCAGGTGCACTTGAAATGCCATTTCTGTTTGAAAGACCTTTAAAGTAAGTGTGTATCTATATGCCATTGTACCCCAAGTGTGTGCAGCTATTCAACAGATCTAGCATACTTTTACACACAAAATTACCCTTTTCTGGTAGAGCATGGGCAAGGTGGGCCCCACAAAAAGAATAGCAGAGGGGCCCATGACCAACTTAAACCACCATTGAAAGTTCTCCTTCATGTTGTCCTCTTAGGTCTTGGTTAGACAAGAACAGATCAAGCAAACGAAAATTACAATAACAATGTTATCATTACTACCATCATCAATATCTAAAACATCATCACCTTAGGCACCAAACTACCAAGTAATGAGTTTTTTTTTTTTTTATAAAGACCTGGGTCAGAAAGTTTTTCAGAAGTAGATGGGGATGGACAGTTTAGACCAAAGTTTTTGAACAAGTTTTCTACCTCTGAAGACAACAGAGGAGAGGAGCTGAGTCTTTGGCTTTTTTTAAGGTTTCATGGTAAAGCAGCAGGAAGTGATGACTGCAGGCACTGTTTTTTGCCTGCCTGTAAGGAGTTGCCGTAGTCAGTGTGTGATATTACCAAGGCTGTGCTGTGTGCTTTGTCAGGAAGAGTCTGATCCTCCTGATGTTACGAAGGGCAAATCATCGGGACCGAGCAATTGAGGTCATGAGAACCTTGAACGTTAGCTGATCATCAATCATCACACCCACATACCAGGCAGACTAACCTGTGAGGGGCTGGCTGGGATGATAAGAAGCTCAGTTTTGGACAGGTTGAGCAGAAGGTGGCATGCCTTTATCCACTTAGAAATATCCCTTTGGGTTGATACTGTTGTGGCATCTGAAAGGGTACGATAGGAAGAGGTGGGTATCATCTGCATAGCGGTGATATGGGAAACCGTGGGATAGGGTAGATGCACTGAGTGAGATTGTAATCATTGAGAAAAGTAGGGGACCAAGCACTGACCCTTGAGGGACACCTATTGATTGGCTGTTAAAGTGGAATGATAATGCTTATGTTTGTCTCTATCTATATGTGTCTATCCTTTATTATGGATAAATAAATAAGATGAAACTAAATGTTACCTTGTTTTGGTGTTGGGTCTTCGTGACAAAACCATGCACATAAACACATACAGTAAAATGATTCTATACTATTATGCTAATGATACATCAGTGTACATGTCTGAGAAGCAGCAGTGTATGAGCCCAGTGACAGTTTCATTGTTGGTTGATGAAAGGAAGAGGCCAGCAACAGCCGCCATTGTCCACCAGGAGACAGAGAATACATCAAGTTTGCTGTGACGCAGCTAAAAGCTTCAAATCTGCTGTGCTAAAGAAACATGGCCCCCGATTTGCATTATCTTGGATCCAGTCTGGGTGCAGCTGCTGTTGGTTATGTAATAAGATGCTCCATATGTTCCACATGACTAATTACAGCATACAAATGGAGGAGGGAACATAAGAGTAAGGAGAAAGGGGAGGTGAAGGAGGACAAAGAACAATTATGAGGGGACATGGGGAGAAGAGCGGGGGATGTAAAACAAAACAACATAGTGCCTCCAGTTTCTGTTCCTTCAGTTACTATCAACAAGTGTGATCAGCCGGCAGCCTGGTCCTCCTCGTCTCTGTCCCCACTGTTCTCAGATCAGTTCAAATTGATTGTGATAGCTGCGACTTTGACCTACTTTCAAGAACAATGGCCCCCCATGGCTGCTTGGGACATTCTGATAGTTTGGTTTGGAGGTCACCCGGGCTTGGACTGTGGAGAGTGGGCAAGGAAGAGGGTGGGGTGCAGTCTAACCCCTTCATCCTTTCAAGAAGCTCACCGCCATCCTTCTTGACCCCAAGACAAAGACTCTGAATGGTCAAAACAAGCTGATCCTGGGACTGTCTACTGTCTGTGGAGGTCCACCAGCTGCCTCCTCACCTCTGCCCTTTACAGTAAGCATGGCCTCAGACATCTTCATCAGTCTGGTGTGGCCCCTATTCAGACTGTAGGTCCGTATATGGAGCTGCAGCAGATTTAAATGCATGGAGGTACTTGTCTGTCCCTGTTTGCACCCACAGAGCAATCCCCTCTGTCATTTCCTTTATCACAGTTGCTTTGATGAGATTGTCGAGTGACTTAGTATGATTAAAAATAACACGTTGACTGAATTACAACACACTGTGAATCTAAGAAGTGGTAGAATAGGGTTATAGGTTCAATATGTTCATAATATTAAATATAGTCAGTTCAAATATAATTAAAAAAATTAGCCTTTCCTCCATACCAGCAGGTAGATTCTATGGCTTCTATACATCTGCAAAGAAATGCACTTCCTTTCAAGGGTGACTTGCATTGACCATGATGTCCAGTAATTTGCCCATAGTCCTCTTCTCTGCCACCATCACCAGAGAGTCCAGCTTCATGCCAACCATGGTCTGGCTCTTCTTATCAGTTTTTCAGCCTTGATGTGTCCTTCTTTGATGTGCTGCCTTCCCCAAGACCCCACAGTGTAAGACAGGACACTGGCAACTATGGACCAATAAAACATCTACTGGAGTTCTCTGCAGATGTTAAAAGATGGTAGCCTCCTCAGGAAGTACAGTCTGCTCTGTCCCTTCCCATATAGGTGGTTCGTGTTTATTGTCCAGTCTAAGTTGTTGTCCAGCCACAGTGCAAGGTACTTGAAAGAGTCTTCAGCCTCCACCTTGACTGCTTCGATCAAAACTGGTCTTGACCTTGGTCTGGACCTCCCAAAGTCAATGACTAGCTCACTGGTCTTCAAGTTGTTGAGGTGCAGATGGTTCCTGTGGGACCAGGCAGCAAAATCCCCCCCCAGGCCCCTGTACTCCTCCTCTCTGTCATCCATTGATGGTTGTAAGATTGGTGAACCTCTGGATGTGACACAGCTCAGAGTTGTAACAGAAGTTAAGGGTGTACAGGATTAAGGGAAAAGGGGGCAACATCGTTTCATCTACTGTGGACTGTTGGTGAGATAATTGGAGATCCAGGTGACAGGGGTATACTTGCATCTTGCTCAGTTTGTCCTCAGGCAAGGAGGGCCAGAAAGAGGATTCTCACGGTGCCACTCCCTTTATCCAGATGTGAGTGGGCTCGGTGTAGCAGGTAGAGGATGGCATCCTCCATACCAACGCCTGCTCTGTATGCAAACTGCAGACTGTCCTTGACCTGCTACACCTGAGGATGATGAGGAAGAGCTGTTCCATTGTCTTTATTACATGTGAAGTGAGTGCCACTGGTCTGAAGTCATCCAGCTCCCTTAGCCGGTTTTTCTTTGGAACTGAACGATGCAGAATTTCTTCTAGAGGAGTGGGCAGTCTCCCCAGCTGCAGGCTGAAGTTGAAGATTTATTACAGCGGTTCACCCAGCTCAGCAGCACAGGTCTTAAGTCGTCTAAGACACACCTTGTCTGGACCAACTACTTTTCTGGAGTGCAGCTTCCTCAGCTGACCTCCGACTTGGTACACAGTGATGCTTAGAAAGGTCTGTGTTAAGGTGGGGGTGGAGATGGGGGTGTTGAGGGAGAAAGGAGAGATGGCTGCAGTAAGGGGTAGGGTTGGGAGGGCATGAGCTGGTTAAACTGGTTAGAGAAGTCATTCAGTTCATTTGCCCTTACTATTGTTCCCCCTACGGCTCTGGTCTTGGTACTGTGGCTTGTAATGGTATTCATGTCTTCCCAGACCTCCCTCATGTTGTTTCCTTCAGCTTCTGCTCCACCATCCTCCCTAAACTTGATAGAGCTTATAGGTAGGACTGGTTAGGCTTTAATCAGCTCTAAGTAATGCTGCCATAGGTTTTGACTGCTGGGAAACTGGCACACTGAGCTCCTCTGTCCCTCTCTCTCCTTTAGATCTTGATGTCCCATGGAAGTTACTAGCCACAGATCTCTCAGAGTGTCCCCATGATCCTCAGTCTCATGGGTTCCTCTGGACTGTTGCTACAGACAGTTGGCTGCTGTTGACCTGCCTGACCCCAGCTGCATCATCTATGATTGTCCACTTCAGGCCCTGAGCTCCTATGTCTCTTAGCCATCCACAATGTTGTTTCCATGTGGATGAAATGACAATATGACTAAAAACCTTTTGCGTTTACTCCAAATTTGATTATATGTGGAGGGGGCCTCCTTCCTGTTGAGAAGAGCATTGACCTCCTGTGTTAGAGGTTAAAATAATTTGTAAGGATAGGAACTGGTTCAGCAATTAGTTCAACAATTTGAGAATAATGATTCTCAGATTAGACCAAAACAAACAGGATTTTCATCATCTACACATATAATATTATCATAAAATGATGTGTCCAAAAGGGGACATTACTGCATGGTCTCAAAATAACCCTTGAAAACTGCTGTCATTGTTGTGAAGAGAAAACCATTTATACCATGACCGAGTAATGCCAGCAGCTTCTCTGGACCACAGCCTGTTTGAGATGGACTGAAACAAAGTGGAAAATGGTCCTGTAGTCTGATAAATATTTTTTTTTTTTTGTTTTTGTTTTTTTTTTAAATCCTGGATGTTGTGTCCCTGTAATCAGCACACAGTTCAAAATCCATCATTCTTGATGGTACGGGAATCCATAAGTGTTCTGCTTTTGGAGCACCATACATGCTGCTATACGCACAATGACCTTGTCATTCCGGTAAGACCTTCCTTACATATTTCAGTAAGACTCCAGGCACTCACACCTTTAGCCCAGATTCATAACTTAATTAAAACATCAAGGATTTTAACAAATTGTTGAGCAGCTGAAATTCTGTATCAAGTGATGGTGGGAAATTTCACTGCCAAAACTCCAGAAACGGGTTACTTTGCTTTTGCAGCTAGTTTATCAGCACCCATCTTTAATTTGCATTTTATGGTAGACTTTTTTTTAACACAGAAGAAAGACTACAAACTTTTCTTTAATGTTTCACTCAAATGAATATGACAGGGGTTTTGAACAAACCATTTAAGAGGTCCTAATACAGCAACACTGTCCTCCTTGCCCATTATCTGGTTAACCTACAGAAGCCACATCCTCAGCAGTATATCAGCAGGAAACTGCCCAAAAACAGTCCCTGCTTTCTCCCTGTATAACACTGACACAATGAGTCACAATCTGGCACACAACCAGCTACACACTGTTGAGACCAAAGCATCCTGAAGTGGTAGGAACTGACACATGAACATGAACACAAACACACGGGATGCCTGGGGGGGACACTTTGGACCGGATGGTCAGAAGAGACGCCCTGCATAAGAATGGAAACAGCAGAAAGAGAAAAAAAGAAGAAGGAAAACAAGCATGGAAAGCGTCTTAAGCAGTGTTGAAGAGTCTAAACAGACAAAACAGCCACAGGCTATAATAAACATGCAATCAGTGAAAAGGATTGTGCTGCAGAGATAAGCTTATTACTCCACATTTTGATTTGGACAGCTGACAAATGTGCAAAAAGACATCCATGGCTTCAAGATAATGACCTTAATTCAAACACACACACAGACTGAGATAAAATGATAAAAATGTTTCCATAATAAATTCTTTCATGTGTACCGCTGGAATGCTTTCTGACTCACCATGAAAAAACAAGCATTAGGAGAATTCCTCGCAGTTTGCTGCCCTTTTGGAAAGTACCTGATCGTGTGCGCAGGACCACGGGACCATTTTCTTTTTTAAACGGTAAACCCGCTCTGGAACATCCATATGATTGATTGCTAAGGTTCTCCCTCGGACAGCAAAGGTCAAAGCTTTACTGTCATTCATTTGTCAAGGTGTCGGTTGTACGATGGGACCTGGATGGATCATGATAGTTCCCTCATATAATAGTTTTCTTTTTTCCTTTATCTCGGACATGTAATCTTTTTCATGTACCTTGACATGTTACCACCAAGTGACACTACTGAGGAAGGCAGAAGTTTCTGCTGAAACATGTCAAGGCATGTGAAAAAGATAACATGTCTGAGATAAAGGAAAAAAAGAAAACTATTTCTAAGAAAATGAAGACATAATGAACATCATTCAACTACTACCTTCATTTTTTTTAAACTTAGCAACCAGTGCATTTCTTTGGTTAACCTAAATCCATTTGAGTGAATAACAACACATTTGTAGCACACTTTAGGAATAAAATCAATATTTACTGTGTGAGATAATTCAAATATATTCGTAAAAACTTGTATCGCTGGATTTGCACTGAAAATTTCCCTGAATCCTCAAGGATTTTTTTCCTTTTATAAAAAAATGTAATCATGAAAACTGGTGTTTTTGTGCAATCAAATTACAATCAAATGCTTGGGATCATCTTAGCCATTAACATGATTTTAAACTACATGCAAAAGTTTAAGAGCTGCAAAGTTGGCCATGTTTTCAGTCTTTGATAAGCGTGTTTGTGTAAAAAGCAAAATGAAAGGGGCGTCTGATGACAACTGGCTGAAAGGGGCATATCACCACCTAAGTTATCTGTATACCACAGAGGGGACACAGTTTTAGTCCAGTTAAACTGTTTTAATCTATAAACTATAATGTTGAAATTACTTAACTATGCATGTAAATATACAGACTGAGTTTGTGTACTTATTAAAATCTGTCAACTTTCACGTTAAAACACTTAACACACACAAGAACAAAATCTTCCCTGTGGTGATAAAATAAGGAAGTGACACAAAGAAAGAACCACACACACACACACACACACACACACACACACACACACACACACGCTTCCTTCATTCTCTCTGTGTGTTGCCTTTTCATGAATGGAGCTCCTGAGTGGAAGCCTCCCATTGGCTGAGCTGTGGACCAATCAGAGCACAACATGGGCTGAGACTACAGGCCATTCACAAAAGTCTCTCTCTCTTCCTCTCTCTCTTTCTTACACACACTAGAGATCAAACCTGTTTCTTTCTACAGCACTCAGAGGCTATTTTGCCTTACTGATCTGTTATTTCAGATTGCCTTGGTAATGCTTCTGCTCAAACATTTAAATGTGAGTAAATATAAATGTGTAATCTGTCAATTATTAACTAAAAACACTGCAGGTGTTTCAAGAACCACATTACTAGTACAGCATGTCATCTGTGTTGAATCAGGGTTACAGTCTGTTTTATATTCCTATGTTTCATGATTAATCAGGCTAAAGCTTTCAGTTTTCTCATAAATTTTCTGATCACATTAACATCAGTGAGCAACACCACATGAATTCTTTTGTTTTTTTCTATGTTCAGAAATGTGAATGCAACCAGAGGTCTTCATGGGTCCTTTGTGAAAGAAGTGTTATGTGTTGATAAAATCACCCTATGTTTAAAGCTCCTGCTAGGCTCATTTCTTTGTTTTTCTTTAGTTTTTTTGTCAACTTTTGTGCCCTCTGTGGACAAAGTAGTCTTTTGGCTTGTCCTCTCCATGTTTAACCCGCGGTTCCCACTGTCCATTTTGGGCACAAAGTAGGCTGGATATTGGCAATACAAAAAAAAAACTTTAAATGCACCAAAATCGATTTTACTCATCATGGACATGGCCCAGACTCTAATTATTGAAAAAAAACTTTTTTCATCTTGATCATTTCATATGAGAAATATGGCGATTTTGTGTTTTCTACAATTAAAAATAACAGTGACTCGGTGCACAATAACTGGCTTAAAAAGGGTGTAACATTGAATTTTTTATATTTATTTTTTGATGGTCAGGGCTGAAGTTGTGTAAGAAATATGAGTCGAAAAAAAGTTCACAAACTTTAAAAAACGATTATTTTATGAACACTTATCTGCATGTCCGTTTTGGGAACAAAGTAGGCTGGATGGAGCTTAAAACTAACAGGAACCAAGGGTTGAGTATTGTCTTCTAACAAAATCCTGCTGACATTTAATAGTCAAAAGTATCATTTATTGTGAATATATTACGAGGATATTGTAAAACTATCTGCAGCTCTTCAGCTGACATCCACCCCCTCGTGTTACTTTTCAGGAATGGAAAATTACGAGGTCAAAATAATCTATCTTTCTGCTAATGCTCTTTTCTGCTTTTGTATATTATGAATACAGTAGGTAGCCATAGAAACCATAATCTTGTTTCAGTAATGTTAAAACTCCTTAAGGGAGCTTCAGCAAACTTAAAGTTTGCTGAAAACAAGCCGGGTTCTAATCCTATCAAAAGAAAGACATCCATGATTTCAGTCTGTTCTATTTACTGAATTACTAAGGGCCAAAAAATCAAGGTAATCCAGTCTTGATTTATGACATGGTCCCTGTATTACAGAGGTTCCTCCAGATCTGCAAAGTTTTTTGTGATATTGTGAATTTTAGATAATGTTCTAATTAAGAAGGTGTTTCTCTTGCCCTTTTTTTATTTAGCATTCAACAGTTTTCCTTTTCTTTAAGAGTTTGTTGTTCCTATCCAAACTCTTTTGAAAGCAGCCACAGGCTTAAACCAGAGAGCAGAGAGGCTGACACGAGCTGCAGGTCAGGACCTTAAGGTTGCCCTTCGCAGGCGTGTTGCAGATCAGTGTTGCTGTTATAGCATTGTTGCTGCAGTCCCGCCTCAGTTAGAAAGAAATTCTTTATCATCAGGAGCTTATCCAGGCGGGCAGAGAGTATGTGTGGGAGCTGTCACAGATAACACAAAGTCTCTACAGTTGGGCCAAAGGCGTGGTGTCACAGAGGACACTCGTCACACAGAGACCTCATGACACTCAGATTGGTGTGTGTTACACCAGGACATCAGATTAAAGTGCATCTCACCTTACCTATTAAAAGAATCGTTCAATAAAATACACACTGTGGTTTTCAGGGTGAAGAGGAAATCTGTTTAATCTACAGTGGATTTCAATTTCAGTCACAACTCTATTCTCCCTCTCTAGGTACCAAGTGGTGGTGAGGTTTTTTTCTTCTTATCATTTTCATTCCACCTAATTAACTTCGTGTCTGTTGCTTGATGTAAAGCAAAAGACAGCTGCAAAAACATCTATTTTATTTCATCAAAAACATCACAAAAAACTCATCATGGTGTTTGACACTTCACACTGTGAGAAGCTATGTGTGGACAGTCCAATCTGGTCAATTTACAGGTCAGAGCCTCTGAATTTTACGGAAATTTTCCGGAGTGCACGTCTAAAAAGGCTCATTAGTTCCATGGAATTGGTGATCACTTCTTTCAGATCACCACCATACTATTTTATGACTTAATAAACAACTGGTAATGGACAATTGTTCCCAACAACAGCAGCTAACACTAATCATGGTTGTATTACTGCTGTTTTCGATCACCTCAGGGCAGGAAACAACAATAAAAAGCCTTGGGGAAGTCCTCCTAAACCTCTTTTACCTACCTTCCCAACCTCCAGCTCCTCCCTCCTCTGTGTTGACCCCTTATCGTTTATGCAGAGAGGTCTGCAGGAGTCCTTGGAGCCCACCGCAGACCCCCTATTGACACCTGCTGGGGGGCAAACTGATTATTTTAATGCAGCATCAGGGCATCTATAAACCTCAGGCTGCGGTGGCTCAGCATATGTTTGAGGCTTCAGCTTCACAGAAGGTCTCAGCATTAAAAACCACAACTTTTGTTTCACAATCACTCAGAGAGAGAGAGAAAAAAAAAACTGTATTTTCAGTTTTACTTTGAGTTTTCTTTACTGGTCAGAGGAACCAGAACTTGTGTTACCATAAGACTGATGTGTCAGGGGTTATCAGCAGGATGACCGTGTGTGTGTGTGTTTGTATATATTTGTGTGTGTGTGTGTGTGTGTGTGTGTGTGTGTAAGGGGTCGCGGCCTTAAGTTTCAGCATGAGAGCAGAGTCTCAGGGAGACGTTGACAGATACGCCTTGGTTATGTGAGAGGTCTTGACTTTTCTTATCAAACATCAGCAGCTAAACTGTTTGCTGGGAGCCTGAAACCATCTGACTCCAAACTTTCACACAGCAGCTCGGTCCCAGCTCTTCAAAGTATGACTCCTTCGGTCAATCTCTGATCAATACTGGTCCATGGTTCACTCTTTTGATTGGTAACAGAGTGTCAAGACACCAATAGTCTCCTTGTGGAGAAGCGGTGGATTGTGAAATAAAGACATTCCATTGTTCACACACATTGAAACAAGAAAATTAATACTTGCATATTCAAAATGAAAAATAAAGGGGGATAACTGGCCAGGCTTTTGATTTTTGTAAGATTTGACCACACAAAATCAGTATTCTTAATGTTAGTTTTCTACACAACAATATATTCACAATAAATTGTTCAAATATGTAAAGAAAAAAAATACTTCAAAGAAATTTGTGTATGCTTTTAGTTAACGGGCACTTAAACCACTCTGTCCAAATAAATGAAACTAGCAGAATGACACAGCTGTGACCTGCAGCTGAACTTTCCATTGACTAGAGTGTCAAAGTTGCCTCTGCAAAAAATAATGTATCTGATAAATGTGACAGTTTATACAAATTAGTCTGTGGTGGCATGCGGTTAACACCGCAAGATAAAAGGCCCATTAGTACACCCAGTGTGAAGCATCTATGCGCAGAGCAAGTCTCGCTGTAATGATCATATTCAAAGCAAGCCCATCATCAAGGAGTAATATTTGAATTTACAAATCCTCAGTTAAAACTTTCAATGTGCCACCAACCATTAGGCTCACACATAGAAGTAACGACCAAAAAGCATAAATTGTGAATGCAGTCCCAGACAAAGCTATGTAGCCTAATAAAGCTGCAAGCAATGAGTAAATAAAGATTAATTAATCAATCCATCAATTTTTATCTATACAGCGTCTATTCTCAACAAAAGTTATTTTAAGATGCTTAAAAACAGCAGGTCCAGCCAAGCTCTTTGTTTTTATATTACAACAAAGACCAAAAATCCAGATTAAGTCTCAGTACCAGCAACACTCGGCAGCTTTTACCAAAAATTTGTTGGCAGAGATAAAACCTTGTCATGCTTTTATATTTATATATTTTTTTCTGTCTTGCGTTTTGCTTGTTTAAAAAAAAGTAAAATGCTTAACTGTAATTTGGCTATATATTTTTTAGTCATTTGAAGATTTCCAACTCATCACTGTCAGGTGATGAGCAAGATGATCTGAGCAAGATTTGTGGAAACCTGCATGAGGGACCACAGTTATGAACATACGGTTTTACCATTTGCTAGATTTTTTTTAGCTCAAAATCAATTTCAGATTTTTATTTTTTTGGTTTTAAAAGATGGTTATCCTTTCTTCTTGTATATTACAAACAGCCCCGTTTAACCATAGAAATAAAATTTCACTTTCTGCAGTTTCAGGGTGGCTGCCTGTTGTCTCACGCTTGAATGAAGTTTGAAACAGGAAAATGCCAGTGAGCTCAGAGGAAAGTAGGAAATGTCAATTCTCCCCGTAGTTTGCACATGCAGGAGACATTTGGTTGAGGTCTGCACCATGTTCAGACACTTACTTTTGTTCCCCACCTGACTCTTGGTGCAGTTCTTCACATTGTTGGGTCTGTTAGTAACATATTTGTGCTAACAGTGAAATCACATCCTGTTTGAATCTGTGAATCCACAGCGAGCAGCCTGAGCACTGCAGTCGCCTGTGAGGTTCTTGAACGTTCTGCTTTAAGCCCTGAGGTTATTGCTGCCCTCATGTTCAACCTCCACCCTGCCTGTAGAACCAAATCACAGCCACATGGCTAAAAGCTTACCCTCACCCCCAACCCCCCCATCCTCACCCCCAACCCCCTCGTCCTCACCCCCTGTAGTTAACTCTTAAACATCATTGGTCCTCAGTTGTTTGGCAGCTTAAACTGTTTGGTCTGAGTCCTGCTTCCCTGTGGAGGATCTGTCCTCTGCAGCACACTGAGCCCAGAGTAGGTGAAGTAAAAAATACCACCATCCAAACTCGTCAGAGCTGAATTTCAGGGAGTAAAAAGACGTGGGGCTCAAACTTTATTCTTCAGAGAAAGAGATCATTTTAATGCGTTCTAAGTTTTCTTTTCGTCGTTTTCGTGAAACCTTCTCAGAGGACATTTATGCAACACTTGGGCTCTTATTTTTGAGTATTTTAAGTTTTCAATGAACTTTTAAAAAATCAAAACATTTTAATACCTGCATTAGATGGGTTATTTTTAGAAATAGTGCCCAGGCTAGAAAAATACTAAAGCTTTCCTGAGAGCTCTAGGCTCCATCTGAACAAGCGATGGATGTTGTGTGGGGACCAATATCAGCACACACTATGCAAACAGAGCCCCACTCACTCACACACACATGCGGAGGGGAATTTGCATTTCGAGAAGTAATGCTTTTCGCTGGAAGGTGTAACGCTCTCCTAATTCTAACTGACATGCTGGCTAAAGTAAACAGTCCACATCCACACAGCTGCTTTCAGGGATCAGGACTCTGTGGACAGGACTGAGTCAGAGCTGATAATCTGATCGATCAGATAAACTGGTATTTCTTTAACTACAGTTTGAGATTACAGCACCTATGTTTGTCAGTAAACCAGACTGCGACCTTACATGCAAATCAAGTCTCTGATACAGTCTGCAGTGTTAATGCACTGCCAGCATTCAAGCCCAATGGTGAAAATGTCAGAAGAAGAACTTAAATGGTGATTTACTGTGAAATTACTGTCACTTATCTCAAAGTTTTTGTGCCAGTGCACTCTAAGTTAGGATCTGGCACTGCACACTGCCAGCACATATCATGTTCCTCAAAGTGGTTTTTATTGGGATTACTTTGTCCTTCTGAGCACCTTCTGTGCAGGTTGTGAGCTGTGTAAAAGGTTTTTCCTTTGTCCCTCTCTTTGGTCATTTCCAGAAAGACCTGAGCTCCCTGCCAAAGACCTCAGAGGGACTCTGAGTGGACCTGTGTGAATTTGACCTTTCAGAGCCGCTCAATAACAAATGTTACTATTTCAAATCCAAGATGGAGGTCCTTCTTTACATTCGTTTCCTCTAGGCTTTTTGCAACTCTCTTCTTTCAGGCTGCTAAAGACTCTTCAGCTTGTTCACACTAACAATGTCAGAGCATGGCATGACCTCATAAAGTCAACTAATAAATGCAGTCACCTTGCATGACAGCATCGGTTTCTAATGATATTCAAATTTATGATCTGAGACCAAAACTTCTCAGGAGAAGACAATGCCTCATTAAACAATTGTTTGTCATGCTTTTATTCAGATTTTTTGTGTCTCTGGGTTCAATTGCATCACGTCCCATACAGTATATCATAAAGTAAGGAAATAAATGATAATTGTTGACAGAACAATCAAAAGGCGACCTGGATTAGTAACCTGGAGAGGCACAATTTCCAATGCTGTTTCAGGACTAACAATCAGTGCATTTAAATGCACTTAAAAATATATCTACTGCAAAAATGGACTAAAAAAAGGGGGACCATATTCAGAATCCCGAAAAAAAAAGGACACGACTAGGCAAGGCGGAGTCAGGGCAGAGTTAATTTTAAGAGCTTTTTGGGTTGGATCGAGAGTTTTTTATGCACTTCTAACTCAGTAAGTCCACACGACACAAACTCAAAACTTCCACATAGAACCGCGGTCATTTGAAGGATTTTGGAAACTCCCTCGGACAAAGCCAGACAAGGCCGGACAGCCCCCCAAAAAGAGGACAGGACATGTCCTGGTAAAAGAGGATGTATGCGCACCCTACTAAAAATGGATGTCTAAAATGCATGTAAACACGTTAATCCAATTGAAATCAACTTCTCATAGTCAGACAAATATTCCTGGATAATGCAGAACAACATGGGTACTTTGATAAGAAGTTAGTCAACAAAGCCTTGACAAATAGATAAAGGACGTAAAAAGATAAAACTTCATCGACAAATGGCATACAGCTGTAAAAGCAATGTCTCATTTGCCTCTTATTTATGTGTGTTACATGCTATTTTAATACATTTCAACCAGTAGATGACCCAATAGTAAAAAGCTAAAAGGAGGATTCATTACCTATGGTAGCAGAGGTGGACTTGCTTTTGTCAATAATTCGTTTCTTGCCAGTGCATGTAAATTGGGACAAGAACAGCCCAGTGAAGTCACCTAATCAGGCTATTTAAGGGCGTAAACATGTTAATGACCATCGATTTCAGCCGCTGCATTTATCAAGACCCGATCATACGTACGCTGGGATTGGTCAGATACAAACCCTTTCATAAATCTCACGTGCGTCCTATCGTAGGATGAATCCTGCGCTCAGATCTGCACTCAGGTCTGCGCAAGATTGATAAATGAGGGCCACTGAGTGCTGTCAGAGCCCCATTTACACATGCAAATTATCAAGTCAAACAGTGAAGCGCAAGTTGGAGGACAATGGCCAACCACCAAACTGGGTTTGTGCTGCAGACTCTACAGAGTTTACCTCTTCAGATTTTGTGTTCTGGTTTGTTTGTACTTACTTACTACTCTGTTGAAGAATTTTATGAGCAAGTGCCCAGTGCTCCTGAGCTGTGTATCAGTACGAGGCTTTGACTGGCTAATCGCCACCAGGATATTACCTGGAAGGTCGGACTGGTCATAAGGCTGCAAGGGATCATGCACAAGAAGAGTGCATGAGTGCAAGTGAAGTCCTAATACTGGTTTCACTTGTTTTCAGTGATGAATACAAATAGCTTAGTAATTATTTAATTAGAGTTTCACTAAAAAAAGACTAACACAGGATTTGGTTGGGGAAGTCCTTGTGTGACCCTAACCCTTTGCCTGGCTCCTAGAGGGTCAGGAGTAGTGGCCCACATTCCCTCATAGCTTGTTATGGTGCCATGTTGGCGTGTCTGTGGCCAAGGGTGTGGTGAGAAGATCATACTTTTATTCTCTTGTGTATTTAGTAACAACAAAAAGGGGAAAAAGGAAACTTGCTCAAAAATGAGAGTTGACTCATACTATTCCCAGACAAGAGCTGGTTCTTGATGCTGAGTCATCCGTGGTCAACACGTACCTATTCAGAGGCCTGGCCCACCGATCAAAACCCTAATCCTTTTTTAAGTTATTGCTGAAATGAAGTAAAACGAGCAGAATAAATGAATTAAAAATGCAGATAAATTGCAGCATTGCCAGCTACATCCAGTATGCTGGGAATCCCAGACTCATTGAGCTGTAAGGCAGCCATTTCGAGTTGAGTGGGGGGCTATTTTTTCTTTATCCCATGCTGCCTGTGATAGGTCAGCTCTATAACTTTGAATGGAGTGTCATTGCTGCAGTTCCACCACTGTGGGAGACACTCCCACTGTGGCGGCAGTGTTGTTGATCTTCGGCTTTGGTGGCTACTTCATACATTTCCATCATTTTCATTTTATCTATGATCCATTACATCGATTTTAACGACTCTTTGGCTTTTAAAGCATTTACTTAAGTTAACCCTGCTATCGGGTAAACGTTGCTAATGACACACAATGCAGGTCAGTCTCATCTGTTATGACCACAGATGTTTTAAACATGGTCTGGCTTACGGTTACCATTTAAACCCTTGATTACATGTTGTAAAAACTATTACAATAACATCATTTTTTTTGTGTTCATTCAGTAAAGGGTGCAGAAATGTGAAACAAGGGTGCAATGTATGGTTTTGAACCCTTGGTCTGATTTGCAACATGTTTTTAAAGGCAGTAGTTGTTCATCAAATGATCATACCACCCTCCAGTCCAAATCAAAATTAACAAATGGTAAAAAAGTATTTGTATTCACATCGGTTTAGATTCACATGAAACTAGACTTTTGAGGAAACTCCCTCATGTTCCCTGACCTCCCACACTCTCTGGGTTTTCTCTGAGCTGAATGAAACCTCGCAAAATTCAAAGACCTTCAAGACATTCCTTGACCAGTGAGAAGCCTGTTTAACGATACAGGGGGCAGGGGGGAGAGAAGAAAGGAGGAGAGAAAAAGTCAGAGCTCTCTTTTGACAGTGAAGAGGCAGAGAATTGAAAAAGGACGAAGAGGAGGAGGAGGATTAAGGCTGCGGTGGTGGCTGGCCTCGTAGAGGTCATTCTGCCACGCTATAGTCACATTAAAGACCACAAGACCCCCTAACCCGAGTGAAAGGACCCGGTTCAAGTGCAGGCACCCTTCTCCAATAGGGCACACACACTCACCCACATTCACACGGACACACACACACACGGACACACACACAGACACACATTTTGCCCCCAGTGTCCAGTCATCACTTTCATGTGCTGACATGGGTTGTTGGGCGGCCTTTCAGAGACCTTCAGCGTGCAGTGGGTAATAGGCTCCCTTGCTGAATAAACTTGTTCCTTTCACAATGACGAGGTTCCACAGGGTGCGTGGGGGGTAGAGGGTGGATGGGGGGGTGGGGTCAGGGTGGCACCAGAAGAACCAAGTTTCCTTTATGCACAATTAAAGATATAGATTTGGCCACTTTGCAATTTACTTCGCCTTAATAGCCCCGCATGGAGGACACAGATAAAGTGGTTTATCTAATTTTTCCCTGAAGTCACATCTCTCAGTCACCCTCTGACATGCTCTGATAAATGACTCTGCTAGTTCATCTTCACTTCAGCACACTCTATCATGCATATTGTATCAGTTATCTAAAGCTGACCAACATGAAGCTGCTTTCTCCGAAGTCTATGATATAAATAATGATGCTAGTCAGAATACTAAAAGGGTGACCAATCTCAGCAGATGACATCTATCATGGAAGGTCAATTTCAGGAAAGTTTTTATAATCCAGGATCAAAGTCTTGAATGTCATTGTGCAGAGCAACAAAACCGTGGAGCTTCTCCTTGGGCCATAAAGTGCAGAGATAGTTCACATGAGCAGAAACCAGGACAACACTAGGAAGAAAATGTGACTGTAGGTAAAGAATAAAATAGGGATAAAAATACAAACATGTACTCTGGTCTAATAAGAATAAGTACTATGACTGTAGCTTCAACTTTACAACCTCACTGTTCATCCCAGTTTTGTAAGTACATTTACATGTTCTTAAAAAAAATGGATTCAGCGCAGTTCAACAGACTTTGAAAAAAAAACGTAAACATGTTAGCGCATCTGAAATCACACAAAACTGGACGGATGCATTCTGGTGCAATGCAATAGAGAATCCTTTCCCTCTTTAGAGAATACACTTTGGAAAGGTGGACATGCTTCTGTCAGCATTTATTCTCTGACTTCCTGCACATTTAAAGACTGATTTTAAGGCTTGATTGACAAATAAATCAGTAAATGGGCTCCTACCTACTTTTTGGACCTTAAGAAAACATGTCCTTTTTACTTGGCCCTTAACTTATTTGACTGCCTCTCAGGGTTTACAGTTTTATATTTTTTTTCTTATCTCTAAAGGTCCTTACACACCGAATATAGAACGCAAAATTACAAATTATTCGGAGGAGAATTTTGACGCGCCTGACTATACACATCAAGCGGGATGTGATTTTGCAACTTTCCGGGGGGAAAAAAGACACGTCCCAGGTAGAAGCGAGAAGACTGACACAACAGCAGACTGACTGTTTTCAGTTCTGATTAGACACTAGTGTTGAGATGGCTGTCTGTCATACTAGCATGTACTGAGTCTGGGCCAGAACCAGATAAGCACATTAAACTATAATCCTTAAACGTAAGGTAACAACTGAGACCCAATGGTGCTGTGACAGCAAAGCGATTGAGTTTGAAACAGTGAAAATACATGTGGTATGTTGTATCTGAACAGGTTAGCTTACGAGCTAAAGTTACTTAGCACAGATGAAAGTTAAAACAAAGATGTTTAGCAAACTGTTAAAGCACACAAACTATCGTCATATGAGAAATCTGACGCTATGACTCTCCACAAGTTGTCCTTCAGGTCGTTATCTTTGTAATGTTTGTGTCTTTTATCAAAAAGTACTCTGTTCTCCGACACATAAGCAATCAGCTGGTCGGCCATGTTGGATGTACCAGTGAATCAGACGTCGCAACAACATGAAATCTGATTGGTCAGAAGTGGACACACAGTATGCGAAACTTTAGAAAAACCGACCATGATCCGAAAAAATAAATGCCGCAATATCGCAGGACGGGAAAATGGTGCTGATGTGAACGCTTGTATTGACAGGATATGGGTTCGAAAAAAAATATTGACGTCCGAAAATAATCACACGACAAAAACCGTCCCGGTGTGAAAGGACCTTTAATCTGCATCATAAATGAATTTGGATTTTTCCTTGGACTGCAAATAATCACCACATTAGTCTTACTCACTTTTTCGTCATTAACTCTCTTAAAGAACTCTGTCATTGATTGTTTACAGCAGGTTTTTTTTGTCTTCTAATGATGGCCGGATGTATCAGAACCTCCTCTTTCCTGGTTTCTCTCATGGCTGAAGGTTTCTGCAGGATGCACGTACAGTAAGGGGCGCGTGGCGAGTCAGCGAGGATGTCCACAGGAGGTAGATCAGTGTGTCGTCTATTATAATAAATACAGGGGGGCCTGTATTCCTCAACATCCCCTGCTATTCTTCTTCACAGGCTCGACACAGTGAGGAGGGAAGCCAGGAACAATGCCTTTCCTGTGACACCAAAGACCCCAAGCATTGTGATCATACAGTCAGACAGCGAGGATGCGTCCATGTTTGTCTGTTCTCCCCTTGCCTCTGACAGGATGTGACATGCAGCTAGGACAGGAAGGGAGGAAAGTGAGGGGACATGAGTGAAGATGGTTGTCTATTTCTGTCCTGATTACAGCGATGAAGCCATTAAATCACAAAACAATCCTCAAATGTTCTCTAAAAGCTCATGATTTCAGTCTGCAGCTGCTCTGAGGTGAACAGACAGAGAAACTAAAATCTGAAATATAAGGCAACAGCAGAGCATAAACTCCTTGTCTGTGTTGTATGATGTGAAGTAGACTTCCTGCCTGT